CCCAGGCTGCCTTCGTACGCCACGCTGCACTTGCGCCCCAGGCCCACGCTGCCTTCGCGCCCCAAGCCGCCCCCGTGCTCCAGGTCGCCCACGACGCCCACGCAGCCCGCGCACCTGCACCTAACTTCACGCACACGGCCCCCGCCGCCCTCTCCAGCCAGCAGCATCCTGCTGTGGGGGCTGCTGTGGAGGCCACCCCAGCTGCCTTCAACGCCTCCAGCATCGGGGACGTGAACCTGAGCGGGGTCAAGGACAGCGACGCCCGCGAGGTCATGGACTCCCTCACGAAGGGCCTGCTCCAGGTCGACACTCCGCCGCCGCCGACTGTCGACGTCGACAAGCAGGACGACCTGCCCGCCGTGGGGCCTGTCGAGGGCTTGAGGATGGTACACCTCACGTCTCAGGCGCCAGCAAACGACAAGAAGCCCCAAGAGAACGTCCATGTTCCCAGCACCACCCCGGCCTGGGTCGTCAACACGCCGGCTGACCCGCCCGTCCAGGTCGTCAAGTTCGTTCCCGTGAACGGCACTCCGGCCACGCCGGAGCCCGAGCCCATCGACCTGGTGAGGTTCGCCACCAAGCTGGGACAGAGTGGCGTCGGGGAGGCCCTGGAAGAAATACAGAAGGACGACGAGACTTTACCTGGAATGACGAGGATCCTGTTTCCCCAAGGGATGTACGTCGACCCCTCGACAAACCAACCTTCCCATCACGTGAGCAAGAAGGACCAGACACAGCAGGAAAAAGCAGCCGTCCAGGACAAATCATTCAAAACAGCTAAAAAAATCAATCTTGGAGGAAAGGATTCAAAATATGAGAAAAAGCCGGTTTCTGTTGCGAAGCTGGATGCATCGAAGCCTGTCCATGAAAAGCTTGATGTCGTTCCCTACATGGTCGAGTCCAACGACAATCCTTCCCCCGTGGTGGCGCCATTGCAGGAGGAGCCCCTTAAGGCGGTGGAAGAAGACCCGATCTCTCTCAAATTCCCCGCGCCGATCGGCAACCTGGACGACGTGAGGGACCTCCTCAACATGAATGTCACCTTCGCGGACGAGCAGCCCACCTCCCCTCCAACCCCTCGGCCGAGTCCTCAGCCGGGCGGTGGCGACCGGGCGGCGACCGAGTCGGCGCCAACCTCGTCGAAACAGGCCGACAGACCGCTCCTCGGGAAACTAGACAAGCTCCTGAACTTTGCAAAGGAGATCGCGAGCCTGGGGCCGCTACAACCGGGGACCACAGATGTGCACGTGCACGGGGGGCGTGCCAGCCCGTCAGCGACCTCGGCCCATTCAGCCGCCAGCACCACTTCTCGTCCCGTCACCAGCACCAGCGCACCCGCCAGCGACCCAGCGGGACCTACGACCGCCACGGCCGAGCCCCAGGGCCCCGTCGGCCAGGCAGAGGACCCGCTCGCACGAAACGCAGACCTCTCGTCCTCGACGACCGCCAAGCAAGCTTATCTGAACCGGGCCGTCCAGTTCCCCCTGAGGGATTGGCATGATATTGGTGCGGCGAGGAGTGCCCGTGGAAGTTTCTCCGAGGTGGAGCAGCCCGAGGAGTGGCCCGGCGCGGCACCGACGGACCCCGCGAAGCCTTCTGACGAGCACGCGGCTGATGATGCGCAGCTGTTCGCGGTACCGCCCCCTCCCTCCGCGACCCCCACTGACGACAGTGGCGTCGTACACCCCCAAGCTTCGCCGTCGCCCACCCAAGAGGCCGCACCGCCAAGCCCTGAGAGCACCGATGAGGACCTGCACTTCGAGATCCAGGACCTGACCACGACGCCGGACCCAACCAAGAAGAAAAAGAAAAAGAAGAAGAAAGGGTTCAGGCTGCCCTTCGTAGTACCGACCACGACGAAGGCGCCGTGGCCGCGCTCGCTCGCAAACCTCGCCCCTTTCTTGCCCTTCCCGGAGGACTCTCAGATACGCCCACCCACCCTGATTCGCCGCCCGCACTTCAAGCCACCTCCCCACGCTCCCTGGAAGCATCATGACCACGGTCATGACTACAATTCAGGACACGACCACCAGCACGGCCACAGCCACGCCTACGGTCACAACCATGGTTACAAGTACAGCGTAGAGGTGGCCACCCTGCCCCCGCTACCCGCCGACGACCCCGTGCAGCAGCCGTGGTACTATCCTTCGCAGATGGACTACTCGTCGGGGTACCAAGGGCAGCCAGCCACCTATCAGCAGACCGCCTACCAGCAGGCCGCGCAACCCACCTACCAGCAGGCCGCGCAACCCACCTACCAGCAAGCCGCCTACCTGCAGACCGCCTACCAGCAGCCCTCTTACCAGCAGGCCGCTGCTCAGCAGGAGGCTTACCCACAGCCTGCCAACCAGCAGGCCGCATACCAGCAGTCCAACTATCAGCAGGCCGCCTACCAGCAAGCCGCCTACCAACAGGCAGCTAACCAGCTGAACACATACCAGCAGCCGGCCAACCAGCAGGTCACCTACCAGCAAGCCGAATACCAACAGGCAGCCAACCAGCAGGTCGCCTACCAGCAGCCGGCCAACCAGCAGATCGCCTACCAGGAAGCCGGATACCAACAGGCAGCTAACCAGCAGGTCGCCTACCAGCAAGCCGGATACCAACAGGCAGCTAACCAGCAGGTCGCCTACGAGCAGCCTGCCAACCAGCAGGTCGCCTACGAGCAGCCTGCCAACCAGCAGGTCGCCTACCAGCAAGCCGGATACCAACAGGCCACTGACCAGCAGCCCGCAAACCAGGAAGCCGCCTACCAACATACTGCAAACCAGCAGGGCACCTACCAGTATCCTGCAAACCAGCTGACCCCCTACAACCAGGACGCCACTGCCGCTTCCCATCCGGAGCAGAAACCAACCAGCGCAACGCAGCCCTTCGAGCAGCAGGCTGCTCTCGAGAGCGACGTCATCCAGCCCCCTCCCGTCTACACACAGGGCGTCTACCAGGATGGCGGCTACGCCCAGGCCGAGTACGGCCCGGTCGCGTACCAGCCCGATGTGTTCCAGCCGCAGTATGAGTCGGGCGCCTACGGAGCCGAGGGCGCGCAGGGCCCGTATGGGGTGCAGCAGGAGCAGCCGCTCGCGTTTTACCAGCCGCCCACCTACGAGTCCCCCTCCAATTACGTGCACCAGCAACGCCGACGACGATCACCCGACACCGGGGCGGCACTGACAGCCGACACACACGACGTCGCGGGCGACGCGGAGGAAGGAGCGGATAAGGAGGTCGACACCGTGAGTTTTGCGGACGCTGTTGCAGGGGAGAAAGCGGTGGGCGAGAAAGAGACAGAGGGGGCGGTTCCGGATGTCGAGGATATTGCATCGAAACGAGTGCTGGCCGAACAGAGTCCGTCGCTCGCAGAGGAACCTGAAGCGACGTCATTCAACGAGAAGGAAACTGCGGACGGGCTACTGTTGTCCGATGAGGAACGGTCGATCAAGAATGTGGCTTCGCTGGACCGCCTCCTCTCCGTCGACAATTTCGAGCAGACGGCGCTGGATCCAGCCGACAAAATGAACGAGCAGATTGCCGTGGTGTCGGCGCCCCGAGCGGACAGCGTCGTAGACGACATCGAGGCCGCGATGCCCGCGACGGAGGACGTGGACACGGGTGCGGCCAACAACCCCCAGAGCGCAGCGATAGCGGATCCTGTAGACAAACAGGATGGCCCGGCTGCCGAGGAGACAGCGCC